CTGTTATCAGGGGGGTGATAACAGACTGTCGCACCCAATGCTCGATGCAATCACCACTTCTAACCGATCATTTCGACCATAAGTCTCCATATATTCCTGTGCTAAAGGGTCAATAACATCAAGCATATAGACAGAATCATCACAATCATTAGGATATTCCATAGTATCAAAAATATTGAACTTGGCGACTTGTCCATCAAACTCCATCGTAAGAGTGCCCTGTCGAACATCAATCATCGTTTGGGTTGTATTCAACAATGGTCTTCCCAATAAAATTGGGGTGGAGTTTGAGGACTTATCATCCATGTTCAACACATAAAAATCAGCAGGAAACACAAGATCATTAACTTTCACAAGAACATCCTCAACAACACCGTCGGGAAAAGTGGTACTACGATCGGCGAGTTGGATAACAACCCCGGTTTTCTTCAAAGGACCCAAATTCAGAGAATTAAAGATAGAACGAGGCATAACATTTATCGAAGCACCCAAATCTAACATAGCTCTTTCGATTTTTGAATTCCCGATTATACAAGGAATGAAGAACATACCTGGATCACTCCTCTTCTGTGGCAAGCTCTTCTGGAACACGGCTGAGACATTCTCACCCATTATCACCTTCTCGTTCCCCTTTAATCGCTGCTTATTCGTGCACAAGTCCTTCAGAAACTTCGCATATTTTGGAACTTGCTTTATCGCGTCAATTAGGAGAATATTGACCTCAACCTTTCTGAAAACGTCCAAGATCTTCTTTCCGGCATCGTCTTTCTGTTTCTTCTTGATTCTTGATGGAAACGGCAAAGGTTCAGTCCACCTCGGCTCGGTTTCGATGGACTTTTTCTTCATTTTTGCTCCAGCCGTACTGCTATCAGGAGGGGCGGTAACAGCAGACTCTTGAGTATTTTCACCATCTTCTTTCTCGTCCGCATCTTTCTTCGATGGAATAGGACCCTCGGGGGCTGGGAGCTCCTTACCACTCCTCAGCCTGATGGTGCTGACATTCCTCGGGTTCGTCTCTGTTTGGGACGGCAGTTGGAGTTCACTTGCGACTCCAACTTGTTCACGTGATTCGACAATGAGGACATTTGCCCCTCCAAGTTCTTAATGCTGGACGCCATGCTCTTCATCAGCTTCTTCATCTCCGAAGATGAATCATTCGGTGGAGGGTTAGTGTTGTGCTCCCCCGTGCCTTGGTACCTTTGGTAGCCTTATTCCCTTTGAAAGTTTTGGGGCTGCCTTCGGTCTTGCTCCCCAAACTGGTTGCCGCTATTGTTTCCCCATCTCAAATTCGGGTGATCTCGCCACCCCGGATTATAAGTGTTTGAGAATGGGTCATAGTTACGTCCGACACCATTGTTCGCCCCAACTGCATTGGCATGGGCCTCCGTCGTGTTCACTGTCCATGGACAGTCCTCGGTAGTGTGATCCACCGTCTCGCATAGGCCACATGGTCGGACCCTCGATGCTTGACCCACAGCCAACTGGCGAACCACGAAAGTTAACTCCTTGAGCTGTGCTTGTAGCGAGTCGGTCCCTTCTTCTTGTGCCGGTCTCTGCAAGATACCACGAGTACCAAACTGTTGAGAATTAGCTGTCATGTTGACAATTAACTCTCGAGCTGCCGTAGGAGTTTTGTCCATAATTGCACCGCCACTAGCTGCATCTAGCATATTCCTCTCCATGAGTAAGAGGCCTTCATAAAAGTATTGGATCAATAGCTGCTCGGACATCTGGTGTTGTGGACAACTCGCGACTAGCTTCTTGAACCTTTCCCAGTACTCATACAATGTCTCCCCTTGCATCTGTCGCACTCCACAAATTTCTTTCCGAAGAGCGGCGACTCGTATCGCCGGAAAATACCTTTGGAGAAAGGTCCTCTCTAATTCTGCCCATGTAGTGATCGATTCCGAAGGCAAGTAATAAAGCCAGTCTTTTACAACATCCTTGAGAGAAAATGGAAACGCGCGTAGCTTGACTTGCTCTTCGGTAACCCCGGTGGGTTTCATACTGGAGCACACCGTGTGAAACTCCTTCAGATGTTTGTGTGGGTCCTCTCCCGCGAGACCATGGAATGAGGGCAGCAAGTGAATCAGCCCGGACTTCAACTCGAAGGTGGTATCGTTCATCTCCGGGAAAGTTATGCAAAGTGGTTGTTGCGGTAATACGGCATTAGCAAGTTGCCTCAACGTACGCTCCTCGTTTGCCATTAGTCCTTTCTCGGTGGTAAGATTGGTGTGTTCTTGGCTCTGGTCACTCTCACTTTCGTCCTCTAAGTTCTCGCTTTCGATTTCGAACTGGAAACCCTTGTCGAGAATCGCCTCCTTCTCTTGCCGAGCCTTCTTCCTTAGCTCTGTATCCCGTCTCGTGATCTCCGAATAATATTCCAAGTCTTCAGCCCCTGAAGACCTTGTTTTCATTCACGTACAAAAATCAAGAAAAAGTTTAGCTCAAACGTGACAAGATTCGGAAATAATTTGACATAAAATCCCGACGTATTTTCTGTTATCACCGGGGGCGATAACAGAATAGCAGCGAAAATTCACACAAAAAATTCAACTGAAAAACTGAAAACTGACACAAAATAAAATAACTAACAGCAATAAAATCACTATTTATCTCACGCCACTCCCCAGCAACGGCGCCAAAATTTGACCGCGTGTCGTTACACGGCAAATTTGAATTTATAATTTTTCCTAACTTACCCCTACTAACCAGTAGTAGTGGCGAGCAAGGGTCGATCCCACAGGGAGTGTGGTATAAACCGTGATTTTATTTTATTAATTAGATGAAAACAAAAATGGGGGGATTTGATTTATTACGAAACTACTAGCAAAACAAGAAATAAACTAAAACTAAAAATAAATGAATTATATGCCAAAGATAATTAAACCGAAAATAAATAAAAATAATCTAGCAAAGATGAGAATGGAATCGGTTCTAGGTCGGTCTACACCCTCGAATAACTAGCCCAATTAATGCTTTTATCAAATTTCACTCATCTTCTAAAACTACCGGTCCTAGATAGCAATAAGCTCTGCTACCCGAGTTTTCCCTTAATTTATACTTAATCGAAATAGGCTCTTCAATTAATTCTAACTAGCGAATAACTCGGAATAAGCTCTCCTAATTTAACCCACTAGTCGCATTAAAATCTAGGCAAATAGACCGATCTAAGCCACAAACACATAAGCTCGGTTCATGTAACTTATGTTGTGCTATCCCTAACAATGCACGACTGTTAGTTGCTACAAACGAAATAAGAGTGACAACAATTACGGATTGAAGCCTCAAATCTAGCAATTAACATGCAATTCCTAACTTAGGTGATCAAGCTAAATTAAAAATCACACATTATGACATGAAACTAAAATAACACAAACAATTTTATACGACGAGTAAAACGAAATAAATTGCATTAATCGAACATAGTCATCGAGGGTTCAATGTCCCTAGAACAGAAATAAGTATTTAGCTACACATAGCTAAATAATAAAAGTAAAAATAATAATAATGCATGATCGCAAATCAAAACAAAGCAAAACAAATAAATAAGAACAAACTCCTTGATCACAAATTCACGGCTAATTCTTTTTCCAGTGGCAGCAAATAATCCTTTAACCCTTAATGGTCACCCGTAAACTCTCTATGTTCACACATGAAAGGTCCCAGCAGAATAATCTTTTTTTTCCCCTTGATTTCTCCACACGCCGAAATAAGGATAAGAGTCCCACTCCCCTTGAATTCTTCCCCCACGTGATCACACTAACAAGAGTCCAAAGAGAAGTGAATTCTCCTTAATCTTGGTCAGCCACCAACAAAAAAATAGTCCATCAATTAAGAAAATCCATCCTTAAAAATTAGTCCTCCTGCGTGTATTCGATTAATTTAAATTGCAATCCACTTCTTTGCCCACTCAACTGCCACCTCACCAATGCACCGTCACAAATAGACGTAATAACTGCAAAATAAGATAAAATCCAAATATTGGTGTACGTCCGTTCACAAAATAAATTACGTGAGAAAACTTGTATAATACACTAAAATCAAATACTCAAATATATAAATTAACTCACTAAATAACAAAAGATTTCTCACGTATCAAGTTCAATATGCACAATACTGTCCGACACCGTGGACCATAGTGTTAGGTGAATTGTACATTGATAACTGTCAGATGGCACATTATATTTTTTTTTACGTATGTTTAATTGTATGTTACGTTGGAGCATACAATATTGATTTCGACATTTTATTATTGTATTTTTTAACAAGAAATTATATAAAATATTATATATAAATATTAAAATAGTAAATACATATTTATAGTATGTATAATAAATTATTTATATTATTCAAGTTGTTTCAAGTAACCGGTTGAATATATTTAATATTTTATATAATTTTTTGTTAAAAGTCCAAGATTATATAAAATATTGATATTAATATAAAATAGGGATCAAAATTGAAAGAACCAAAATTTTCAACTTCTATAATTTAATACGAATATATGTTTTTAATTTTAAATCGCATAGCTACACAAAATATTGTGCAATTCATTTATAAAAAAATATCGAGTATTTAATAAAATCGTATAAAGATGATAGTATTATTTTTTTTTAAAGTGCACATCTATACACAATATTGTGCATTTTATGTATCATTATTGTGCATTAATTAGGCTTTCATTAAATTATAAATTGTCCTCAAGTATTAACATATACATATATCAAAAGTTCATAATTGCAATTTAGTCCCATAAGACTATCTAATTCTCCAAATCAAGACCAAATCCCAAAAAAAAAAAAGAACATCGACTCTTTGTTCAGAAACAGCTCGCCGCCGACATCACCCGACCGCCGGATTCACCGTCAGGCCGCCCTTATCGCGGCCATCCTCGCCGCCGCTGCGTGGTCGGAGATCAGCCCCAAATCACATAAACCTTAAAAACGCCCCCAATCACTCAAATCGACTCCGATGTGCATTCTGGTGATGTACATTTGTCACTGAACTTCCTTACCGGCCTTGCAGGAGCCGCGAGGCCACCTCTGCTTCGCCTCGTTGGCGCCTCCTGTGGAAGACGATGCGGGAGCGGCGCCGCCGCATATGAGCTCGATGAGGCGAACGGCTAACGGCGACCGGATCTGAGGATATCGGCGGGAGGACGCCGACGAGATTGGTTGCCTAGGCACGACGGAGGCTCTCCTATGTCGCGATCGGCGGCGAGCGGCGGATGTACGGCCGGAGTCTCCTGCGTCGCGGTTGGCGGCTAGAGGTGAAGTCACGGCGGAGGCACGGCGGAGACCAGAGGCGGGCTGTTATCCTCTGTGTGTGTGTGTATGTGTGTGGGCGCAGAGTGTGTGCGTGAGTGGTGTGTGTTTTGTGTGTGTTTTAATGTGATAAATATTAGGGTTGGTAGGTATGGGGAAATTACAACCCTACCCTTTAGGTATATTATTTGATCAAATATTACTATTTATTTACTATATTGACATTAGTGATTGACTATTATTTATTAAAGTTTGACTAGATCAGGGCCATTGATGAGATGAATCTGGTGGTTCAGAATCATTCTTATTTCTTTCCTTGTGCTTCATTCTCATTTGAGCGCACTTCTATATATATATATATATATATATATAGGGTCGCGCTCCGGTGAGAATGGTATTTCGTGTGAGAAATAAGAATGAATCTTAGCCATTAAATCGGATAATCTAATGGCTAAAAAAAAGTCAAAATCATATATTCATTAAGGGTAATTTAGACATTACAATTACACATCACAAGCCACATCACCATGCCACATCATCATCCACACACCTAACACACACGTAACACACGCACAAACACACACAGCACACGCACACGCACACATCAGCACACACAAACACACACACACACTCTGCACACACCTCTCTCTCTCTCACACACAAACACACACACACACGAACACACACAGAAGGCTAGAAAGGCGCACGCCACCGGCCATTCTTCACAGCACCGCCGCACCTATCGATCCGGCCGCCGTCGCCGCTCGCCGACGGTTGAGAACGCCAGTGCCGGCGCCGCCCTTCTTTATCCACCGACCCCCGCCGCTCAAATTCGACGAGAAGTTCGTCTCCTCCGGCGAGACACACGGCGGCGCCTGCACCTGACGGTCGACATATGTCACACCGGCGGCGTCGGAGATGTCCTCACGGCCGGCATCGCGGAGGATTGTTCCGGGCAGGACGACGACGCACACACACCACACCTGCACACAAAACACGCACACACCCGCACCTGCACACACACGCACGCAGCCGCTCCAGACAGCAGATCACCGCCGTCCAGATGCTGCCGGCAAAGACACGGCATCACACACAGACACATGTGACCACACACAGCAGACACATACACACACAGTCTGACCACCCATCCCCCCGATCCAACCGGCAGCGCCGTTACAGCCGGAATTCAGACATCGTTGCAGCCTCAGCAACCGCCGTTAGCCACCGCATACCACCATACACCGCCACACACACACGAACACACACGCCTGAACACCCAATGAAACACACACATATACACAAACGAACACGCCGAATCGGAATTCCCTAATCTCCGCCGAATTGGAGATCCCCAATCTCCGCCGAATTGGATTTCACCAATTTCCGAGGCCGCCGATGATTTTCTCCACCTGCAGAAGACAGAGATGTGCGGGCATTCAGAAATTGGGAATTCCCAATTGGGATTGTTTCTTTTTAATAAATTTGATTAGTGATAGGGACTTGATTGAAATTTAAGAATTTTAAATATATTTCAATTTAGTATGTGGACTAAATCTATAATTTATAAGAATTCATAAATAAATATTATTGTTTAATAGCTTCTATACATTTATATTAAAGTAACTAATAAATATATTGAATAAAAATAATACAAAATATAAAATTATAAATTGTGTATAATATAAATAATAAAGTATTTCAAATATTTAGGTAAATTCATTTGACTAATCGATTAAACTACTTTCCGGGATCGGTTTTATATTAGATTTGCGCATAAAAAA